GTAACGTCCAAAGTTTAAAACAACTATTTCGTGAGTCCCAAAATGACACAATAATAAAACATTGTTACGATTTTGCAAACAATTGCTGTTAAAATACTTTGCCTAAAATTTCACCTTTATTTTTGTACGGAACTTGGAGGTAGTCCTCATGTAAGAAAAGAAAATCTATAAGAAAAGCACAGAGAAAGGTAGTAGAAACGCATCGGCGTCATCTTGTTTGTTCTTGGTCACGTCACGAGTCGGTACGACGGAGCGAATCTGTCGGGAACACGAAGGTGACGTCATTTTCGGGATGTCGTTTTGAGTCTCGCGAAATAGCCTCTGCCTGGGTGGTAATAAGGAGCCCGTTAACTTGGGTTTCCTGTGGTACCGTGATAAGACGCGAATTTTGCGCTTTCTATAAAAAAATAAAAGACAAATTTGAGGGTTATTGAAGTAATGGGTAAAATATACTTCTTCCTTTTTGKTTTTTATTGGACCGGGTTATTGGGTATTTATTAACTTTACTCACTTTTATAATTTTTAAGATTCACTTTCCTCATTGGGCTCCCTGTGTTGTTAACYAATCGGGAAACTTTAGGCTCAAAAATGGACAAATTTAAGGCATTTTTTCTGTTGATTGCGATAGTCGTTGCTACTTTAGCTTGGCTTACCATGGATAATTTCGATCCTGTCGTCCTTAAAGGAAAGAAAGTCTTGATAACTGGAGCATCCACTGGAATAGGCGAACAACTAGCCTACAAGTACTCAAAGTTTGGAGCATCAGTGATCATCGTTGCAAGAAGAGAAAAAGAACTGAAGAAAGTTGCTTCAAAATGCTTGGAATTAGGAGCACTAGAAGCTCACTATATCGTTGCTGATCTATCGAGCTTAGAAGCTGCGAGAAACGTTCACACTTCGGCGCTCAAGTCCTTCCAAGTGATTGACATTGTGGTTCTTAACCACGTGAAACCATTCTCTGAACACTGGAATGAAAACAGCGATTTAACTATAGTTCCTGATATATTCGAAGTTAATACTTTTAGCTATATAAATTTAGCAACTTTGTTCTTGCCTGAGCTGAAGAAGTCGAATGGGAGCTTAATAGTTGTGTCATCCCTTGCTGGAGTGCAAGGAATTGCAAGAGAGTCCTGCTACAGCAGCAATAAACATGCATTACATGGATTCTTCAACAGTCTTCGTCAAGATCTAATTATTTCAGGACATGGACATRTTTCTATCACGCTGTGCGTCTTAGGTCCTATTGATACACTTAACGCCAGGGTAAGTTATAAAGGGAGTGAAGAAATCACTTGGTATCCTGCCGATGAATGCGCATTGGCTGTGATCAAGGGYGGGGCATTGAGATGGCGACAGATGTACTATCCTTATTTTATCAAATTATTAGAGATAGCTCATTTTGTGCTCCCAGATTTTGTGGAAACAGCGATACGTATTGCCTCAGGGGAGGTGCCAGTTGGTAAGGTTGACAGCTTTCCTTTTACTCTAGTTGGCTATTTTATTTATTGATTGCAATCAAATTATTACAAATAAGACATTTTCATTGTGG